AGATAATTTCCTTTCTTTCTTTCTCTTTATTGGCATTAATTTGGTTTGTCGGTTGCCAGCCCCCCCGTTATCTTTGTTGGTATTAAAGTTCTGGTTTTATTGTTTTGTTCGCAAATGTTACACAGATTGTTAGCGTACAAAAAGTAATATTACAGTTTTGCGTGCAAATGCGACGAATGATTTCTTTGTTGCCCAAACTTTATTCCCATTTCTCCAAATACATAAGACCATTTCACGTGTGTGACACATATGAGTCACAGTGAACAGGTTACAGCTAATAATTCATCGTTCAATATATACATGATGGATATTTCATCGTCAAATTATTAGCAAATTATCGCAACCAATTTAAAATATTTATCTATAGTTCGATGGTATAATGTTTTCTTTTTCTTTTCTTCTTTTGTTTCCGCAGTAGTGCTGAATGTGCATTGGAGCCTTTCTTTTACAGCAACTCTTTTGACGGAATGTGTGACGAGCGTGTAAGCGATAAACGAAATGCTAACCATCTAATTGAATCGAATGAATGGAAATGAAGCGACGTGAAAACCGCTATCATTTCCATAATTATCGACAATCTGAAAACTGAAATCCGAACAAATAATAATAAAGAGGAATTTTTCTAAATGTTTGTGTCGTGCGTTCAGAATTAATAATTAAAAGTTAAATACTATAGTGTGCGAGTCGTATGCGGGATCATTAGCGCCAATCAGTGTAGTGGTCGATCGATCGACGTAAATAATATTTGGTTATCTATCGTTGCGTCATCGATCGATAATCTCTGACGGCTTCAATGACTATGCCTTGATATGACGTCATTGACTTATTTTTTATCGAACATTTCGCACAACAAATCACAAAATTGGTCTAATGTGTCAATAATTACGAGTTTTTTTTGGATTGATAGACTCTCTCTCACACACACACACTCCAATATTTAATTAACCATTGAAGTGTTGAGTGTTGTTTTGAAAATTAATTTAATGTGAAATTGATTAAAATTGATTCGGTAGTGTGTGCATTGGATTAATCGGTCATGTTTCGTGATCTCTTAAATTTATTCATTAATGTCATTAGCAGTAGACAATGTGTTAAAGACGTCATTCGAAATGGTAATAATTACATTTGCATATTGTACCTTTGGATGAACGTGAGACATTTAATATTTCAAAATTTATTTTTTTGTGGTGAAATTTTGAAGGAAACCGGAATGAATTGCAGTAGAAAACCACAGAAAATTCTACAGCATAATGTGATTTCAATGATTTTAAATAAATGCGAGAAAATAATTGTAATTTTGTTATGAAAACAGATCCGCAGCGCAGATGAGAAAAAAGAAAATGTGTTGTTTGAAATGTAGTCGTCAAAATAAAATGATTGGCATGTTTGTGAGCGATACAAATGATGTTGTGAATATCTGTTTTCATTTGAGAGATCAAAGGAAACACGATTATTTGACTGTTTTTAATAACGACCAAATTCAAGACTAAAGAAACAAAGCGAAGTGCGTAGGTGTTACTCCAATTTTGAAAATGTTCACTGATCTTTATGTCTTATTTACATAATAAATATGAGTATTCATCAAAATGTTCACGTTTTAATCATTTTCCATCATTCGATGTTATACATAAACAATGGTTTATACAGTAATCGCACTTGTGTTTTCAATCAATTGTCATTTATTGAAATTGAACCATCAATTAGTAATTTGATATTTGAAATTTAAATCTTACATGACCAAAATTGAAATTTTAAAATGTTTACAATATGTACAACAGAATTGTACATATACCTGCTGTACATTACAACTTATTTTGTGTCACTTTGCTATTTTCTAACAACTGTTAGGTAGTTGCCAATAAGTCACAGTGAAATTGTGTACTTTTGTTGTTGTAATTAACAGATTTAATCGAACTAACTTGTTTGTTATATTTGATTTTATTGTTAAAACCGCAAAACCGAAAACAATTACTTGACATACAAGCAAAATATTAAGGTCATAATTGTAAATATGAAACTCATCTAATGACTCATTTTTCTATGCGATGGGAGATAGATGAGAAACCTAGTGAGAAACGTTGCCGAAACCAAACCAAATCATGGGAATTCACATATTAAAAATATATATTAAAATTTAGACATCTAAGACCGTGTGTATTTGTAAAAGTAATATAAATATTAAACATTTGCCGCCTCATCAAAACGAAAATGGAATCGCTTTATATTGTTGGTCGGCTAACGCTGTCTTTTTTGTTCTGCTCTTTCTTTATTGTTGATTCAAATGAAATAAACCATTATTAACACATTTCACAAGATGAATGTTTTAAAAAGTGATTTCAAGTGGCGATAAAAGTCATCAATTTTTTTTAAACGAAACCATCTATATGCACGGTTAAGTGTATAAGTGCGATGTGATGTGCGTGATATGCGACAAACAGATTCAATAAACACCAACTACAATTACTACGATGTATTTTTGTTTTATTTAAATTTACATGCACATGCATGTTATATTTATGCAGAGAAACTGGTTTAAATCAAAGAAATTCCGTTGATGAAATGCATTTGTCCAATGTAAACCAAAACCAATGCGGATTCCAGCAACAGCGCGGTCTTGTACCATTGTGGCTCATTCAAAAGCGAATTCTTTCAACAATATTTATTTTACTGTAATGCATTGCATATGAAGCGCCACAGATGATGATGCGATGATATCATTGTCGTCACGAAGAATGTTGTCTGATGTTGTTTTGCACTCACAATATGTGTAAACAATATTCAACACAAATTTATGTGTCATTCGTGTTCGCTATAATCAATGCAAATTTGTCTTCATTTGTGCTGCGATAATTTGATAACGATTCACAATAAAGTACCCGTGTGCAAAAAAACAACAGTCAGCCAAAATTGACTATAATCGTTTTGTTTTGTACAAAGATGTCAGTCAAAAAGGTTCTAAAATAACCGGTTAAGACTAATCAGTTTTTTCCACATGGGTTAGTTGCTATCGATTTCTTTTTTTAAATATAAACTATTTTTTTTCATATACATTTCATGTGACATTTATTCGTATTCTGATTTGTTGAGAAAAAAAAGCAAATTTGTGTTAGATTCAATCAAATTATTATAAATTGTTGATGTTACATAAATTAAAGAGATACAAAAAAGATTAGGCCCAATTATTTACACGTAGGAGATATAAATTTTGTGGATCGTATTTCATCAATAATTGTTTCCACTCTTGTGGTTGCTTTGTTTTCATATGATTGATAATCAATCTTGCCTGCTTTCTTTGTAAATCAGTGCATTCTCGACACTCATTTTTTATGGCTTCGGGTAGGAAAACTGTAAAACAATGCCATTTTATTGGAAATTATTTTTCTTTTAAAGTTCAGGCAGAAAATCAATATCACAAATTGTGTTTTTTTTCGCAAATAGTATAAGAAAGTGAATTTAAGAGAAATACATACCTTTAAATTCATACTGCATCTTGCTACAAGTCCTTTTATCCAAGAAGCAGTCTATGTAGCTTTTTACTACAGTTTTATTACGTAAAATTACCGCGAGCTCTGTTTCGCTAATTTCTTTGGCATTGATTAGGCAAACCATTCCCATTAAAAGAACCAATGCAAGTGTTGACTTCATCTCTTCTTCACGTTTTTTTTCGATTATCGTTTAATCTACATAAGAATAACGGCAATGCTTATTTATTTATTTATTTTTTCAAAGATTGTATTGATGTTTAACGGTTGAGATATTTCTTTGTGCAATAAAATGTCAACTATCTCGTACACCGTACAATGAAGAAAAAAATTGGTAAAAGTTGTAAATATAAAATCGAATGAGACTTACTTGATGCGTGTGTTTGCAGTCGATGCAATTTTACAACTAATTCGATTGATATACAAAACGATATATAAAGACCATCATTATATTGACCTTATCATATTTCGTGAATACAAAAAGAAATAAAAGAAGGGAATAGACCGAACAAATGACGTGTAAACTGGTATTCATTACAACAACGTTAAATTCAAGTGTTTTGGGAATTCAAAACCACTTGGGTTGTAGTTCAAAGAAATTTTTGTAAAAATTTCCAATTTCGTTATAGCGATATGTTTCGTTTTATTTTTTAACGACATCATTCTTTTTTATCAATGAATACAATTTCATGTTTTATTGGAAATTATGGGGCGAACATTTAAGTATTTTCAAACTGTTCGAAAAATATTTGAAATTTTTTTATTATTTTGACAGTATAAATGTCGGAAGAGAAAAAACTCGCGCGATGTCACTTGAATATACTATATGTAAACTTCCTTCGAAAATACTTTCATCACGCAGTAAATTCTCTTTCAAATCATCGAATTTGTCTCCAAAATTTAAATTGGCCAAAATCATTTTGAATTACTAAAACATTCGAATGGTGAAATTTCAAATTAACTGATCAATTGAATATTGGTTCACAATGATTTTTGGTTTGTAAAAAAAAAATTGTGTCAAGAAATTGAAAACGTTTCTTTGGTGTAGTTTAGGTGTCGTTTGAAATTCTTTGGTTCTATTCAATTTTTAACCACATTGTCTTGGGCCATTGTTAATTAGAAAAATGGTGTTTGAAACCACAGGAAAAGTAAGTCAAATAGTATGTCAAGCACAACACACTATGAAAATATTTTTCAAACAAAAATTGTGGGGTGCACATTAGAGCAGCAGCACATTGCTGAGCAAGTCAATGTGTATGAAAGAAATGAATGTTCATGCATGTAAAAAACCTCAATATTCATAGAAAAAAGTGCAAAAAATAAAAGAACTGTATGTGTAAATTTCAAATATATTATATTTAATACTTCATTCATTTAAATGGTGATCTCTATAAGAGTCAATAAACTAAAACTAAACACTTATTCATTCATTAATCTTAAAAACTAATATTTACAATATAGTATACACTCTTCACAAAACTGGATTCTATAACATTTGGATTTCTATTCCTCCGATTTATATGGTTTGAATAATTTTGGCTTTTCGGACTTTATCACCGTTGTTTTTTCGACGATGTTATTATTATTATTATGATGATTGATTTGATCGATGGTTGGATGCGACTTCGAATCGTGTAGATTGGTTTCAGAAACGGGTGACAGTGACAGCGGTGACATGGGTGAACTGGGACTCTGCATAAAATCACTACCGAATGAATTGTTACCAAAATCACCTCTCGTGAGTATTGATCCATTGGGTGGTGTTGATAAGGGTGACGAATGCGAATGAGGTGGAATGCTTGTTGGATTTCGTTGTGGAATTGGATATGGAGAATATCGATAACCATATGCATATGGATTTGCGCCGGTTGATGGAAATTGTGCTGGTGGAATCATTGGCATTTGTGGAATCATCGGATTTGGATAATATGGCATGGTCACTGAGTTGGCAGCCGCCTGAAGTAATGAAGCAGCAAAAGTTGGATCAGCATAGACAGCGGCATATGGCCATGCAACAGCAATTCTTTGCCGCTTATCCTTCATGCGACGATTTTGGAACCAAACCTATATAATTGAAATAAAAAACATTCATCAGTCAAATGTTGGAGAGAATTAAATCTTAACTGAAATTTATTGTGAAAATCTATGTATTCGAACAACAATTATACATTTTAATTATCAAAAGAATTTCGCATACACGTTCACATTTAAAAAAAAAAAAGAAAATGATTCCTTTAATCGAAAAAAAGTACAGAAATAATAACACACCTTAATTGTCGACTCGGGCAGACCAAGTTGAACAGCGAGTTCGCAGCGACGAGGACGCGACACATAATTTTCTTTATAAAATTCTTTTTCTAACCGTCCCAATTGCTCGCGAGTGAAAGCGGTGCGATAACGGCGAGCCGATGGATCATGTTCATTGCTTACTTCCATATTCATTATTTTATTTTAAATGATTTTTTTTTCGTTGATAAAAATAACTTTATTTTCACTTATTTTACTTAAAGTAATAAAATGTTTTTCGGTTCGCAGGTAAAACTGTTGCAGAATTCACTCTCAACGATGTAGAAGAGATGTGTGCAGACGAGACAAGCACAAACTTCCCAATCAAATACAAAATTGAAACTGATGTTCTTCAGACTATTGACATCAGTTTAAATATGTTTGGATGAGTGAAGGCGTGGACATGGTACACACTGTAGACATAAGTTATCGGAGAATATTGCACAGAATAGAAAATGCAGAGAAAAACAACAGTACAGCAATGATGGCAGCGGTTTTCAGTGATAATGGAACTCCTTATAACTTCACTCACACACACGCATCGTTTTTCGAATGGTTTTATTTGGAAGAGAGAATACATCCGCATCGTCCTTACGACGGCACATATTCTTTATAAAAAAAGAAACATCTCTCTCCTACCTCATTATTAATTCTGCGTTACATATACAATATTTTAATATGATCGACGTCTTTATTATATGTAACGAATGAATCGAAAGGGTATTGCTTATGAGAGAATAAATAAATGTAAAATAATAACGAAAATCTACGAGAAAAACGTATCCAGAATACTACTCATTATAAACTATGAGCACAAATCTCTCTTCATACACCATTCACTTGTGCTTGTATGTATGTGTGTGTGTATTGCACAGCAACAATATTTCCATCGTCAGTGTACATACAAGAGGGCGTTAACGAATTGTGCGCAAGAATATGGACATTTTCCATACCAATCTGTGTTCTAGTTAGAAGGGTGGGATGTGGAAAACAAACATCATTTCTGTTCCTTTCACTCTGACACCAAATTTGTATTTATATCCTTATTTCTACGCTGCACAGCGTGGTGCCGACGAGAATTCGGATGTGAAAAATAATTTACCATATCATCATATACACAATGTTTCGGTGCGGTGTTCGTATAATCTGGAAATGATAGCATAATTTAATTGTTTATCATCGTATGCACACAATGTAGTTTTGGTGTTGAGTTTTGATAAAATGTGTTGCACTCTCTGTTCTCACTTATATTTATACTCAATTTTTATCAATAATCTGAGATTTTTAGCACGGAATATGGAACAGCTGCTACAATTTTATAACACATTATACACATTTTTCAAATGGTTTTACTGACTTATTTCAATTTTTGGCTATGTTCTATAAAAATCACCTACCAGTTGCTTTTTACCATTGAACCGACAGTCCGAATGCATAATTTTCAATATATTCGAGCCCTATACATGGATGTTGCAATTATGCGCAGGAACAAAAAAATGAAAACTACACCGAGTTGCTTCAAACGATGATTGTGACAGTTCAGCTCCGCCAAAATGATTACATTGCAGCAGTGACAGTCACCTTTAAATCTAGAATGTTAATCAAATTCATAAAATTGTCCGACGAATGTCCGGGTACGAAATTTCAACAAAATCTCAATATTAAATCTTCTCACAGGCTTAATAAGCGTATCTAAGGAACCTAAAACCTTGTTCCCATGTTCCTAAAACCTTGTTCTCATCGACACCATCAACTCATATTGATGATAGTCGCTTTTTGGCAATTTTTAAACCGTCATTGTCACATAAACACACACACATAATCCACTGACATCGAATCAAAAGAAGTAGGATGGGTTTTCCATTTTCCTCATTTCCATGTTAGAATAAGCCAAATTTATCCAATTGTGTATGATTTGTACATAAATTTTGTGTAACAACAAATTGCAGAATATGTGTGTAGAAATATCAATTACTCTCGTATTTGGTATGAATTTCAATGTTCATTGTACACATTTTGCTAGATTTAATGAAACTGTGGTGATTCGCCTTTTTTTTTGTTTTTGCACGATTTGAGGAAATTGAATCCTTCAGAGAATAAATTTAAAATTATTATGTATAACGAGAACGTGACCCAGATTTTCCTCGTAAAAAAATATGGCGAATACTATAGCAGTGTGGGACAAGAGTGCATCGAAGTGTGTGAAGTTTAAGAGGATATTTCATCATCAGGGCATTTATGTGCTTTATAATCGACAATTATAATCTTTGCCATGGAATTTGTGTGCCAGTTTTGCGTGGATACAGATTGTTTCCTTATGTTTTTATTCATTCAATTTCAAGATTTTATGTATACATTCCACCATCTATATAAACATGTACATTATACACATACACATTGTTTGAGTTCATCGATTTTTTTACACATAGAATGGTAAACCTCATCATTTCACATTGCATCATCGCGCAAACTCTCCGAAGAAATTGGTGAGCATATTTAATATAATAAGAAACTTTGTTCCGGAGCAATGGTAATTCATTCTCATTTTAATGGACTTTCATCGCTAAAATCCGTTTATTCCTGTAAATACCACATAAGCAAGACAAAGTTATCGTATTTTGTATGAAATATATATATTCTGATCTTGTTTCTTCAGATTCGTTGCCATAGCAACTGTAATCGGAGTTCATATTTTGGTCAAGGATATTCAGGGGCTCAGATGTAAGCTGATTATGTTTGTTTATTAATATTAGGATTGATATCGGCTATAAAATCAGGCCGCCTTCCACATACAGAATTTATAGATTAAGCAAATATTTCACACTCAAAACTTCCACGTAGAAAATGGACGAAAATGTAAAAAAGAGACAAGTTCAGAACTAGAACTTGGCACAAGGAAATCGACAAAGACGAATTCAAGGAACTAATTCAACATTTTATTACGATATTGTGTTAATTTTTTTTGAAATTATACGGAACGTAAAGGCCGGAATAAGGAAGAAAACGAATATGCAAAGCCACATAAACTAATAAAATAATTTCCACACATCTATTCTTCTGTGCTCAATAAGTGATCGAAACTTTTTTATAATGGATGATTGTTAGACCATTTCCATTTGAAGCGATTCAGGTTG